GAGGGACTAGGCCGCCGGGATCGGCGCTGTGGCGGGCGGGAGGGACTGAAGTGGCATCGTCAGCGCTCCGGTAGCAGCGGGTGTCCTCCCTCGGCGCCGCGCACCCCTGGCCGGGAGGGAGGTGGGCCCATCCATCGCGGGGAGGGGGAGGCTAATCCAGTTTTGGGGAAGAATTCGCGGAGTTGGGGGTTTTCCCGTCGGGTGACCGCAGGGATCCCCGTCCCGCAGGTGCCAAGAAGTGGCTGGAATGGAGGAAAGAGATCGAGCTGCTTTCCGATGTCGCCTACTTCGTCCTTACCACTTTGTCAGGTACCGTGCCCAGGAGCTGCCTCTGGCGTTTCATAGAGTCACACAGTGGTTCGGGTTGGAAGGGACCCTGAAGCCCCCCCCAAGTGCCACCCCCTGCCCTGGGCAGGGACACCTCCCACCAGCCCAGGTTGCTCCAAGCCCCCTCCAGCCTGGCCTTGAACCCCTCAGGGATGGGGCAGCCACAGCTTCTCTGGGCAACCTGGGCCAGGGTGAAAAATGAGCTCTCTGTCCTGGGCAGCTGCTGTTTGTTGGTGACCACTAAGTGGAGTGAGACTGCCTGACAGTGATTTGTTTAATGTGGGGGCTTTGTTTGGTTTGTTTTGTTTGTTTTTCATAAATGTCTCTTATTAAATATGAAACAAGTAAATTGTCAGAAGTTTGAGTTCAAATGCAGCAGTTTATCAACCCAAATGTATGTTCTTTATGTCTCTTATTAAATATGAAACAACTAAATTGTCAGAAGTTTGAGTTCAAATGCAGCAGTTTATCAACCCAGATGTATGTTCTTTTAAATGCAAAAGTTCAGTTTAAAGACAGCATGAAAAAGAATCCCTGCTCTAAGCCTAAAACCATTGCAGATACCAATGCTGCAGATGTTGATGTAAACATAACACTCGCCTCACTCAACACAAAAAATACTATTTCTGAAACTCCAGAACCCAGCGTGTTCTTACCTGAGCAGCCCCTCGCCACTGATTAACTGTACAAAGAATGTCACTGCTGTTGCCATCTTACCCTGCACGTTCTGTGTTACACGTATTATTTAGGTTACCAGACTCTGGGGGAAGAGTACGTTAACATTGTCCAAGTTGACCCAACCAAGAAAAGGGTGCCTTCTTTCTTTCGGCGGGCCGTCTTCATCGCTCTTCATACCGTGGTGCCCTACTGCTTAGAAAAGGGATTGCTGCACCTGGAACACGAGCTGCAGACGGAAGCTGATGAGTCCAGAGCCTCACAGAGCAACCCAGCACTCGGCTTATCCAGCAGGACCTTGGTGCGGAACTGGATACAGAAACAAGTTGGGGAGCTCACGGAACAGCAGAAGAAAACAGTCTTACAAACTGTGTATGTTCTTAAACAATGCGTACCTTTACTTCACCGACTGCACCTGGCAGTATTCTACATAAGCGGCACTTTTTATCACCTGTCTAAAAGAATCACAGGAATCACATACGTAAGTGGATGTATTTCTTGTTTGAAGGTGGTGTCCACTGTGGTATTTTGGCCTCTTTTGGGATGCCATGTGCATAAAAGGGATACGGAATTTAGCTGCAGCTGATTATAATATTGGCAGACTGGGTGAAAGGGGAATTTTTAATATTACATAGAGGGATTATGAGTCCATGTGGTTGAAAGGTTATGGCTAATAAATGTGAATGTTCTGTCAGAAGTTAATACGCTCCGTAACATTGAGAACACTGTCTAGTCCAGTCTATCTTCTACATATACACAGAAAATGAGAATTAGCTTAATAAATCAATGGGAAATACTTAAATGTAGTTTTGAACAAAACATCAGTACACATTTAGATACCATTTTTCTACATGAAGAGCTAGTTTCACACAGTCTTTTCAGTAAGTATCTTTCCAAAAAATACCAGCCACTGGCCAAAAGTGTGTATAGGCAGAAGACTCCTCAACAGTTCCTGATGTCAGTGTGGAAAAGAGGAGTCTGACTATTTGCTCAGAGCTACCTAACAAAGCCAAAGCAATTAAAGCAGCAGTTTTGATGGACAGACAGACAAGACAACTGATCCCTGTACAAGCAGCAGTAAAGTGTAGCCTGACTGATTGAGATGCATCCAGGCCACATTACACCTCCTGAGAGACAGCAGGTGAATAAGTCCTAGATACATGTCAATATTTTGGACAGAAATGAGAATCTCAAATCAAGAATTTATTGATATGGGGAGGGAGATAGTTTCATAAAACCACAGTAACAAAAACAACTCTATTTCTGTGAACTATGTAGCTGCATTTTGGAGGACTGCAAGGAGAAGATCAGAGCATACGATCAAGTTACAAGTTTCTTGGAGTAATTTCACTCTTCCATCTTCTTCTAACAATTGGTGTTCAGATGTACAGCTTCAAACAGAAGCAGAGAGCAAGGCAGGAATGGAAACTACACCGCAACCTGGCTCATCTAAAGTATGATGATTTTTACTTATTAGAAATAGGTGGAAGCAATGGTGTGAAATGTAATAGCTTTCATTAACGGGGAGAACTCTGGGGTGACACTTTGACTTAAGTTACCACCTGATATGAAGTTTGATGCATTCCCTACCATTTTAAGCCTCTCTTAGATTTCATGCTTTGCTTTCATGTTTTTGAAATCTTCACAAAGAGGGTTAATACTTGAAGATGGGGTTTACTTTAAGATGATGTTATCAAATATTTCTTATAAGCAGGCTAAATAAAATTAAGTAATACATAACTATGTTAATTAGAAACACGAGCAAGGAAAAAACTACTGGGCGCCACTCCCGCTGCACGTTGTGTTTGGAAGAACGGAGACACACAACAGCCACACCTTGTGGGCACCTCTTCTGCTGGGAATGCATCACGGAGTGGTGTAACACCAGAGTAAGTACAGAGGGACAAACGGAGGCTGGAAGGGATAAACATGATGAAATTTCTACTTGATCGTACTTGTCAGCCTGGGTGCTGAAGTAATACCCTTTCTCTCACTAAGGCACCTAAAATCCCCACACAAGAGTTTACCAGGACCTATATATTTTATTAGAATAGAATGACTGTGGATTACACAGATGAGGTAAAATAAGGTGAGTAGTTTTCTGTCCCAAGCACTGAAATGCAATCAGCCTACTCTGGACGTCAGACACTGAAAGAATTCCTTTTATCTACAGACCTAGGCTATAATTCTGACTGCAAAGAAACAAGAGTGATAATGTTCTGAAGCCACCTTCACCTGATTTCCAGTAAAAAGAAATAAGTAAATTACAACCAAATCAAGTTATCTCTTATGCATGGTACTTTGAACTTGGATTTTGCTTTGGATTAATGAAATACAGCAGAGTTTTCATCCATTAAGGATTTGATAAACATTGTGAAACAAGACATTGTCCATTTATTTTCTCCAAAGACTGAAAACTCCTTGCCAGGAAAAAAAAGGCATCAGATGTTAGTTACAAATAAAATCTTTGCCAAGAGGCTATGTCTGTGCTGTAATTCAGATGTGTGACTGCAGCTGTTCTAGAAATTAGTTAAAAATTACATTACATTAAAAAACAAACACACACAGAGCAAAAGAACCGTTAAGAATCCATCCAGTTTTTCAGCACCTGTATCATCTCATGTTGCTGTTTAAATGGGGTTAGCTTGGAATGCTTGCAGCACAAACTGGACTGAAAAAAAATGGGTTTTTAATTATGAATGCTGATTATTTTCTAAACAGTTATATTTGGATTTTTCTTAACTTTTAAATACAGCAATTCAGTACATCTATGTAACTTCTTTTCTTTTTGTAGACAGAATGTCCACTGTGCAGAGAGAAGTTTCATCCTCAGAAACTCATCTACCTACGCCACTATCAACTGTAAAGGAAAAATCTGTTCTGTTTGATGACAAGGACCTCAGCTCTCATACCCTTTATGAAGTTGTCAGACAGCTTGAGTTAGTCCCAGAAAGACTTTATTATAAAACTGGTAACTGCCTGTGCAAGGTGGCACTTCATTATTGTTTTACAGAATAAATCTATTTCTGCCTCTACCTTTCTGTTTCTTCTAACATGGTCCATGACCATATTAAAAAATATGTCTTTCTAAAAAGTGCTTAACAGAAATGTAATAGTTTTCTTCACTTTGGACAATGAAAAATGTAAATCAGATTCCCATTCTCTGGATGTAAGTGTAGATCATGAGTCTTCCAACATTTCATAGCACATGTAAGGTATTAGTAAAATTCTACAATTTCTAAGATTCCCTTTCTCCTGTAACATAATAATGAGTCCACGCTGTAGACTTCAGAGGGAAAGGACAAAAGCTGTACACAAATCCTTAGTTTAACTGCAGTGGAATTTCTATGACAAACCTATGTCATGTGCCATTCTATTTTCATAACAGGGTTAACGATAAAGCAGGTTTCCTTGATTTGACAAACTGTACATTTCCCTTAGATCAACAGAACACAAACCCATAGTGATGCAGACTGCTCTGCACAATGACCAATTCACACTCAGCTTCCAAACTCAAAGCTCTTCTATCACTATTAGATAGCAAAACTCTTCATCAAGTATTCTAGACATTTAAGACTATAGCAATGTAATAAGTATTGCTTCAAAAAGGCGCTAGTACATACACTAATAGAAACTAAGCTCAACTACGAAACATTAGTTTTATAACCCAGCTCAAGTTTTGTCTGGGTGTTTTCTACAGTCTAACACAGATAGGGAAGACACTGACTTCAGCCAAAAGACCCTCCCCTCCACTCTTTATGGCAGTAAGGGCTATTTCAGCCAAGCCAGTATTTTAGAGTATAAAGGAGGAAGGATTCAGCAGCATCACCTCATCAAGGTTTATTCCCATAAATTATTATTAGTTCTGTTATACAAGTACTCGGAGCAGCAAGAAAAAAGACTGTCAATTGTTAAAATACCTTGTCATTCTTGCATGATAGAAAATGTACAAGATGAATTTATTTATATTCTTTAAATACAGATGGGGAGAAAAAGCCAGATGATCCACTCTGTGGATCATGAGTTACAGTTTCAATAAATCTTTCACAAATGGCACTGAATATGGACTTGGGGCGGCAGGGGGAGGTGTGCTACAGTAAGAGCACTTCTTTTAAGATGGTTATTTCTATTGCAGAGATCCTGGTTAGCTAATCAACAATTAAATCTCCAAGTATTGTCATAAAACCCCCAATAAAATTAGTTTAACTTTTCATCATCTCTACAAATGGAATAAAAAATAGTTGCTGGTAACTACATGAACACTTGATCATTACTGTACAAAAGTGATTTTCAGAGCTGCAATACCATCCCTTTCTTACACCAGGAAACTTTCAGGCATCCTTCACCTACTTAGAAGTGACAAGGCAACAGTGGAAGAAAACTGGTCCATATCATAAATGAAAACATGACCATTTAAGGAAATCACTGCCTGGTCTCCTTACTAAGAAAACAGTAAGGAAAAACATTTTGTTGCACATAAAAACAAATAGGAAGCAATCGACAGGGAAGTATCTGGGAAGTTGTCAAGCCAAGTTTTTCGAGCACCCTGTAAGGTTAATTTATTTTTAATACTATAGTTCAGGGAACTGTACCATTGTCCCGATGTTATCTACAATCCATATTTGAAAACTGTTAATCCCACTGAACGCAGAGCATCTGTGCCTACCCAAGGGTGAGAAGGCATTAATCTCCAACTGCCACTAAAGTTTGTAATTAAGTAGAGGTAAACACGTCTAATTTGCAAAGGATGTCATTAACACTTGTTTAGTAAGAGTCATCCCAGTTGATAATTTTAATAAACATTGTATTTTTATCCCTGATTTGCCCATAGTTAGAAACTCCAGCAAACCTGAAGACAGCTTCTCCAATTCAGGGACTTCATATTTTCAGGAAAAACAGTGAGCGACCGGGGCTGGTACTTTTATAAGGCCCTTTCTGGAAACTCGTTTCCAGAATTTTAAATTTTGACATTACTAGTTTCCACACTTCTAATAAAACAAACACACACAAACATAAAACAACAGGTCAATGTGAATTAAAACTACCTGTAATTTTCCCAAATTACCGAAGGCTGAATTCCAGAGCTCCATAATGACTTCATTTGACAAAACTAGATGAAAGGGTTCCTAAATACATTTTCCATTTAGGTGTCTGTTGAAGTTGCCACTATTCTCCATTCAGAATCTTCAAAGAGCTAATCTTTTCCTACTTTTTGCAAGTGATTGCTCCCTGAAGAGTTGAAAAAGGCATTGCATGAAGATAAACTGAAGGTAACCATTATTGAAAAGGAGCCATAAATACTGTTAAATCAATAGGTATATAAAGATAGAGAACAAGTAAAGGGGGACACTGTCTTTTAATAAATTTTGGAATTAAAAAGTCACTTAATAAAACTGCAGTTGTATCACATGAAAAAGTTTACATGCAGGTCATTTAGCTCTGATTATTTTTTTTTTCCCCATAGAAAATGAAAAGCTGTGTTAAAACCCACACAGTTTGTCTGCTATGGCCAGTTTGGGTATATTTTGAAAGGGCTGCATGAAGTCAGCTTAAATTAATGAAGAAACCCTTAAGTACGAAAGAAACTCCAACTAATAACAATCAAAATATATATTTTTATAATTCCAGGTCCTCAAAGGAAATTGCGATAGAGTTTGAACAAAGTTTTAAGTCATGAAAGAGCCCAATTTTAGCATCTGCTGTGAGACATAATGGTGAAACTGGCATTAAAACCCAACACAAATGAGTTGCTTTACAAGCTAGATGAGTGTTTTTTCCCTATTGCAAAACCCATGATTTAGTAGATTTCTTATTCCTATCTACATTTGTTTGCTTATAACTCAGTAATACCATGCATTTAGGAAATTGGCTTAAGTTCTGCATCTATTTAGGTCTACTGAATTTTTCTATGGAAACAGCACACAGCCATGAAGCAGAAAACAGCATCATGTGTGCCATCTTACATTTTTCCTCCGTATATGTGCACAGCACTTCAGGGTGATACTGAGCAGGAGAACTACGTAAAAATAACCAACTATAAGCCATTAATCTCTCCAGTGCAATGGATCATGAAAGAAAAACATTATCCCAAATCCATGGGATTATCCAAAGTTTCTCCAACTTCTTACAAAAGAGAATAAACTCAATGCAATTTGGTTAGAATGCCAGTTTCTTCAAGAAACTGATATTTCAGATAAAAATAGCAAGATCCTCTTAAAATGAAAATTCAACTGCTTTGTCACCACTCAATCATTTTTTATGAAGAAAAAAGGCATTGTTACAATGGCTCAAAATCGTTCCTTTAGTTAGAAGTAGAATTGGTCAACAGATTGATTGCATCTTCTAGCTAGCAAAGGTCTTCCCCACATCTTCTTTCCCTTTGTATTTCCTCTTGCCGTGTGTGAAGGGGATATATCTGTACTTTATCATGTGCTGTAAAGAGAAAAGATCAATTTCTGAGACAAGAAACTTACGTAATATTTACAAGAACATTTTACAATACACATTGTAAATTACAAAGTCCTCTAGAAAAACAGTTCTTCAGCACTGTAAAGGTAATGAAGTAGCTAATCATGTACCAGTATTGATTATAAATCTCTTATAAACCTCTTATAAATCTCAAGTTTGGGTATATCAAACACCAGTATTGATTATAAACTTCTTATAAATCTCAAGTTTGGGTATATCAAACAACTTGTACAGTGATGATTACTGATTGAAAGATCACAGGGAAGTGGAGAGAGCACAGAGGTATTAATTCTTTACTACCCTTTGATTTACAACTTGGAATAACAGAACCTATCCAAAATTCTGAATGTCTGGGGGAAAAATGGTTCTCTTTTTAAAATCCCAGCGAATCATAAGTAATTTGTTAAAAATGGCCCGAATGACTTGCCTACATTCTTCTTCCCCTTCTCTCCATCTACTTTCTCACACCAACGTGTCAGAACTTCCCTTTTCACCTATCAGAAATGCTACAAAACCTCTTCCTTAAAAACAGCCAGTTAACTGAATTGTAGGACTCATCCTGCACAAAAACCAGATACTGAATTCCGAGATAGAAACCTTTTGAAAGCAAGTGTAGAATTTTCTAATGTAGCATATGAAGACTTCTTTTTGCCTAGTTTTGTTTCCCGTCACCAATATTTGCTCAAAGTTTCAAACACACAACACACTTGAACTAAGTGCTAGTTGTTCAAGTTCCTCTAGTAACAGAAGCGTGTGCAATTTTAATACCTCTGAAGTGCTCAACCAGATGAACAGTTTGGAACAATACTGTAAATTCTGACATCACAAAGGCTACTCTCTATTCTTGGCGGGTTACCTTGATTTGCCTCTTCATAGTGATACAAAATAGCATAATGAAGTACATCACAAGGATTGGCCAAAACACAGGAACGTTGAAAGCCTCGAAGAATGTACATGCCATAGCAACCAGGATTCCTTTAGTTGCAGAGTACCTTCAAAATAATATTAACAATTAATATTTCAACCCCAGCTACCACTACTTTGATGCAGATATTTACATTTTTTCAAAAACAGCATGGGTAGATGGATCCACTCACCAGAATTTGAACTCTGGGAGCCTTCTAATGAAAGGCCGAAATTCTTCATTTTGCCTTGTAGGTAAGGAAGGACCATCATCTGAAAAAAACAGGAAAAAAAAAAACCCAAACCACAAACCCTCTCACTCTACTTTTCCACACTATTTGGACTCCAGATTATTTTTTTTCTTAAAAAAAAAAAAAAAAAAAAAAAAGAAAAACCTTCACTGTTGCACATAGATTCCAGTTACAGTGGCTGTTTTTAATGTAACATAACATTCATTTCCCAAAAGAAAATAGATAATAGAAATGAGTGGCAGGTCACTTGAGTTACTTTGGGGAGAACTTCAGCCACAGAAACTTTCTTTTAAAACAATGTAAACTAATACAATATGGAATACGTTCAAGTCCAGGAAAAAAGAAGACAAATTTTATTGTAACTCCTGAGGTCAAGTTGTAGAGATTTTTTGCACATCTGAAAACACAATGTCATGCTAAAATTGCGCATTTTTACACTACTGTATCATCAGAAAGAGCTGGAAGTTTGACTAAGTTCAAAATTACCGCAAAATGAACTATTCATCATACCTGAGTCTTCCATTAAAGAGGGGTCTACCTTTGGCGACAAGAAAGCTATGAAGAGATTTAGATGGTAGATTCCCAAGGCATATGTCACAATGTACCAACCCTGAAGCAGAGAGGGAAAAAGAGCTAAGATTAAAGTCTTCCTAAAAACCATTTTCAGATACTGATTTTTCAACAAGACTAAACAACCTGATTTTTTCCTTCCTTGAGAAATGCTCTTCTACATCCTTACATTAGCATGAAAAGTTTTCTGGACTTGTTAAAAAAATATTACAATTTCTCACTACGTAAAATAAGCATTGCGACTCTATGAAAAGATGAAATCACCTTTATGAAAGTATTTATTTTATTTGTACACTGACAGCTAACAAGTATAACATAACATTTAAAGCTACCGAAATACTGACTAAGCTTACTGTAATATACAAGATTTAAAAAGAATAAAATCTATTAGCCTTTTTAACTACATGTTTTCTAAGGTATACTACTGCAAACCTAATAAATTCATCAAAACAAGCCTCAGAACATGGGAGATGTGCAAATCCCTCAACTATCGATGGATTTAATACGAAAGCTTTTCTCAGGCATCGAGTCTCAATGTTCATGATGTAGACATCATAAAAACAGTACAAAAGCAGCAAACAGCATAAAACCGTCACATTTTTAATCATCTTTGCAGGCTTCAGTCTCCTAAATGTTCCTATTACTACCACCTGCACAGCTTTCACATTCAACCTGTAATCTTCAAGCTTTGGGAATGCCTGGCCTGCAGCAATAAAAATGCTGAAAAAGCAATTCTTTATGGTTTGGATGGAGAAGGTAACCACTGGCTCCTGAACGTGTTCTAACACGGCTTTAAAAATAAAAGTAAAAACGTAATTGCAAAAGAGTTTTCAGAGGTTTATTATGGAATTTCATCAGAACCAATAGATTATTTCTACTTTTTGTTGCCATCAGATGAATATCCTTAAGCATTTGCTTGTTCTCCATTTTTAAGCAGTAAGTTTAACACCAGAAAGATGCATTTTTACTTCAGACCATCTAATTTGCCTTCTACTGTGTGCTACGTGATGCCATATATAATTCCAAAATAACACCATACTTCAAAAATACACAAGACAAAAACCTGAACAGTAATGGTATCTAAAATTACTTTAGCAGTAAATCCAGTTTTCTTACCTGCAGTAAATAAACTCTAATCATGTAGATAAAACTCAGACCCAAAGTTACAATCCATCGCACTGCAGTATATGGAGTAGATTTGTCTAACCAGGATTGGTAGATCTAGGAAGAAATAAAGTGGACACACATAAAATACATGATGCACAATAAATACCATTCATTACAGGGTAGTATTTGAAATTGTAGGCATTTGTGAGAAGTATTTTGGGAAGGAGAGTAATGTGAAACATTTGTATTCTTTATTACAAACAAACTGAATTGAATTTTAACATACAAGCATTTGAAAAGTTCTATTTTTTTTTACAAAGGCAAAAAATAATAATTTCCTAATGCTTGAGGCATCGTAAAGCAATTTAAATTTTCAAAATTTTTGCAAGTTTACTTTCTTTAAGATGAATCTGACATGAAATCTGATGTCACTCCTCTTTTTTGACAATAACAGCATATATTTTCACTGTGGAATGTCACATATCCACACATTCAATATTCCATTAAGCTATGTATTATAATATTTGTTATCTGTTTTTAAAAGGCTTCAAAACAAATCACTTTGTATAGATTTTACTATTTCAACAACTTATCCAGTAAGTAATGAGTTTAAGAAGCTGCATTGAGACCTGTTTCTAATAGAGTCAGAAAAACCCTCCAGAAAACCAACCTGTCCAAGTCTTGAGAAAAATCTATAGACCACAGAAGGCTTTCCATGCACAGACTCACCAACACTGTCCCCTTCTGACATGGTTGCTGTGAAAACAAAACATGATACATAGGTAACATTTATAACAAAAATCCAAGCTCCGTGTCGCTTTACAGTACATTACCCAAACCAGCATTTACTTATGATATTCTTTTGGATTGCCCTGTTTGAAACATTATTTTTAGTGAAGTATTCTTAAACTGAGGATATTTATTCCAGAAGAAATTACTTTCCAAACGGAATTGTCAAGGAAGCAAAGAACAGGGTATTTTACAACGGCAAGATAGGATCCAAACCCACTTTAGGGAGGGGAAAAAAGAAGTCCATACAGAACTACAGGAATAAGCCTTGTTAGACATCTTCACCTTGATAAAGCAGGAATTATAACATCTAAGCACCAAGATATGACCTGCAGTACCACCCTCCTGACACCTCAGGCGAAGGAAAAAACCAAAATATTTTTTTAAAAGCTGCTTAGGATTTTTAAATACTAACTAGATAGTGAAGAAGCTTAAGTTCAGGACTCTGTACACCAGTGGCTACCAAGAAAAACTCTGCTGTAAGTACCTAAACCAAAGCACTGCCCACTGCTAGAAACATTCAATGAGATTATCTCTTGAACAGGAAGAGCTCAGCAGCCACAGGAAAGTTTTAAGCATGAGCAGAACTGTGTAGTAAAGGGGCCAGGATTCTGAACTCAGGTAAAAAAAAATTGACCAAGGGAATTATTTTTTAGTATGTGCTTCTGCTACCAATGAAAGAACTTTATTTTTCTTTTCAGCTAAGCTCAACTAAGTCTTACAGTTCACTTCAAGATCTAAAACAAACAAAATAAAACAGATTCTCAACAGACACATTTTTGCCACATCACCAAAAGCAATCCCTGACTTTACTTCCTGGAGTCCTCATCTGTGGGTGGGACTACACAGCTCTGGAATAGTGGGAGCACTTTCTGCCCTATAATAATATCTCAAGAGCCTCAGATGATAATAAATGTATATGAAACATTACTAAATTTGAAAAATGTAAATTATCGTAGATGCTGTAATACAGTGACTGCTACAAAAAATAATTTGAGACCAAAGACAATCTGGGGAAGTTCAGAACCTCAGTTGTATATTTTTTTTCTGTAAACATCTGAAAACTATATCCTATGGAATATTTAGTAAGTAGAAAAAGGGAGCCCCATTCCACTTCAAAAGATAAGGGGATTCATTATGAGGCTTCAGGAGCTTCAGTCCACTTGAATTAAAGTTATAGCTAAAAAGAAAAAAAAAATCAAATAGGAACTCATACAATATAGATATGGACTTTTTCATTACAGGCAAAATGAAGTAATTATTATTCTCCCCATTCACTGCACTGCAGAAGGAAGAAGTTACTCAGCATTATTAGCTGAGCATAATTTTGTACTTTATTTTGGGTTGGTTTGTTTGGTTTTTTTTTGAAATGTCCTGAAGTATAAAACAATAACAAAAATATATAAGTTCTCTGAAGATCACAAACATAAAAGCTCTCTTATTGTCAAAATTCATCTTACGTATGCATCCATAGCAAATATGGGCTATAAGTAGACCTACCATTACATTCTTGTAAATGTTAACCTATGCAGACTGAGTGAAGAACCACCTATGTAAGGCTACTGATGGCTTTATGACAGAGTAGGCTTTTTGCTTGGTGTAAAATTACACTAGAAGTGATTACGTACAATTGTTTATCATACAGACAGTTCTTCCACAGCACACCAAGAAATGCAACCAACTAACACTGTCTGTTTTACTGAAAAGAAACCTCTCACTGGCCCAATTTAAGTAGCATAGACTGAAGTACATCACATGACATAGTTTAGAATTTAGGTTAAGATTTCTTATCACATTAAAACATTTACATAAAGAACATCTTTACGTAGACTATTATTAAGAACAGTAGTCATTGGCATTGCTTTGAAGGTAGTTTACAGTTAAGAACACAATTCAGATCTCATTGGTTTAAGGGAATAATTAAATCCAAACAGTAGCAAATCCTCTTTCATAATTTAACATATAATTTTACTGTTCAGCATAATGAGTTACGATAACCCTTCAGCCATTTCAGTAAAGTCAATAATCAGAAAGCTATACAAAGATTAATAGAACAATTGAATAGTTTGGTACTATCAGAATACAGACTGCTACTAAAACTAAACTGTATTAAAACGTTTTTTTCTGCTGAACAAGACCAAGTAGGCAAATGCATGACCTTCAACAATTACACCTTCTACCGCAATTGTTATGGGAACATCATTACAGACACCACTGCATCCCTGAGTTCTTAAAATAAACAGGACCTGGGGCAGTAAAAAACATTTCCATTAAGCCTCGCATCATTACATGAGAGGAAGTACAGAATTTTCAGAGAACTTTTGACCATGACAAAGGTTATTCTTAAATTTAACATGAAAATAAAGCACTTTACCAGCAAAAGCACCTTACTGCTCATAGAAGCTTCTTTATCTCATAGAGGAAACGCCTTTGAAGAGCAACACAGTAAAGCGATTCGTCAACAACTGGGTGAACGGACAACCACAGGAGAATAACCCACTGGGTATGCAAACTGGTTGGGTTTTGGCTTTTTTTAATGCTAAAAGAGGCGCTGTTTGATTTTATCTATTCCTACAGCGGCCTGTCCTGTCGGAAACTCGCAGCTGCCCCCGGAGCAGCGGCTGCCCGGTCCCTGCGGGCCCCCCGCACCCCGAGCACCGCACGGACGCGGGGGGCTGAGGCAACACAGCGGGGACAAGCAGAGCGCAGGGAGAACGGCGCGATCTCCGCACAGAGACCCGACGGGGAGGCCCCAAGCGGGGCCCGCTGAGGTGAGGCGAGCCCGGGAGAAGCTCTAGGGCAGACAGCACCTCGGCTTGAGGGAACGCGGGTCCCCCGGCAGGCCCCAGTAGCGGTGCGGTACGGCCCGGCGGAGCGCCTAGGCCGCGGGTGCGGCAGCGGTAGCCGAGCCCGCAGAAGCTTCCCAGAGGGATCCCTCCCACCCGGGGACTGTCACCACCTCCGCCCGCCAGTTCGGAGGCGCAAGCTCCCGCCCCGGCCGCCCTCAGCCCCGGCCGGGCCGCCGACGCGGGGCTCCGGCTACTCACAGACGCCCAAGCCGGGTTCTTCCTTCCGTTCCCCCTCCCCCCCCTCCCACAGACCCGAATATGGCGTCACTGGCGGGGGGAATCCGCTTCCCTTTCCGGGGCGCCGCCATTTTCTCTGCCCGCCCCGCCTGTGGCGACCGGCCGTCCCCAGGGCGGGACCGTGGGCGCCGCCTCAGCCCGGCCCTGCGCCTGAGGGGGAGGATGGGTCTCCTCCTGCCGCCGAGTCCGGCCTCTTGTGAGGACGAAGCTCCGGCGTTGAGGCAGAATGTAAATACAAACGTTTTTCATCCATGGGTTTGCGGTGTTTTCTGTGGCAGCGTCCCTGGTCCGTGCAGGGGAAGCACAGTCGCTAACGCTTCAGCTTCTGCCTGTTTCAGTGTCTTTAGTTGTTTAGGAGCTTGGGTTCCCTTTACAATGTAAAACAAGTGTAAATAGTAAGCGAAGTTATATATTTATCTTCACGTAATTGCTTATACTGAAGTTTAAAAATTGGTATCCCTGAGTAAAGTTAGTATTACTTCTGTATTACTAGGTATTCCGTATTCAGCCTAGTCTTTCTGTATTGTTTAAATAATCCCAGTTTTCTTCTTTCCAGGGCTGTGTGTAGGGGCCTCAGGTGGGGCTTGTGAGAGGAATTGGGGTCTGTGGGGTGTGCTCAGTGCCTGGGCCTGAGGAGCAGGAACAAATTGGGCTTCCAACAATCCTCTTAATTTCCTTTTTTTTTTTGTTGTTGTTGTTGAGAAATAAGTACCATTAGTACCATTTGTGGTTCTTAAACCTTTTATATAATTGTATGGCAGAACAAGAAGGCAAATGGGTCCTTCCTTTTTACACAATAGAGTAAGTGGTCATTACCTGTAAAACTGGCATGGCTCTAGAGCTTGCTGCTGTGAAAGTCAGATCCTTGACTTCAAGAGTTTTAATAACTGTGGTTCAGTTCTGTTTTATTCGAGCTAATAAGGAAAAAAAATAATTTAATAGTTCTAAGATACCTGTGGTGTATATACTTTGTAAATCCCTTCAGCTGGGGCCAATGTTTAGATGCTAAGATAGTAAGTCTTAAGAAAAGTCTAAAGTCTGTGAAGGTGCTAACAGTACATAGATATAAATTTAATCATATAAAGGAGAAACATGAGAAAGTTTTGACTTGAATTGAAAATAGAGGTGCTAATTTGTCTGCTAAAAGGAATTAGAAGTGTTGTTTTATTTTCCAGGTCAGGGCAAGCTGTTCTTTAAAGATGGAAGTTACAATGAGGGCAAATTTGTCAATGGAAAAACTATGGGGAATGGATTTCAATACTGGGTATCAGGTGAGCCTGTAGCTGTTACATACCCTTTTAAAAAAGAAAAAATCCCAATCCCATTAAAATCTGATATATAAAATCTGATCTATAGATGCATATCATAAGCAGCCAAACTGATTTAGTCCAAGTTGTCAATCTTTCATACTGTTTATTGAAGATTTATGGTTTTCCTGTTTCTTGTTGGCCTCTCAATTTCAGCTGGGTTAACTTTCAGTCACCTTGGAAAATTAACCAAATATGTTAATGGTAGAAACCAGAAACATATATCATCAATTTTTGATAACAGTCTCAGTCCTTCAGAGATGCACACTTATGCAGACTTATGCTTGTGTGAAGTGCTTCACAAGATCAAGCCAAAGATCTTAAAGGATTTAAAGAACTTGAATAAACTCTCCATTATGGAGGAATGTCTCACGCATGATTTACCAAGAGAATGTTTCAATGAATCCATCTCTCTCCTAGAATTCTGAGCAGAAAAAAGTCCATCAATTGAAGACCTGTACCAGTAAGTTGCTCCAGAAAGTAATTTCTTTGGTTTCTGTACAGGTAAGTTAATGACTTCTCCACCTGCCTAACCCCTGTAGTCAACAATCTGTAAGGCTGCCAGAAAATAAAGAGTGACCACTTGGAACTATATAAGTAAATTGAGTAAATACTTAACAGAAAAATAGTTATCTGTCATTCTAAGATCACACATACCTCAGGAAATTCACAGTACTTCTAGTGCTAAGCAGCTGATTTGTGAGGCATTGACACAGAATATTTGAATGAGTACATGCCATCAAACAGCTGTTAAGGTGACTATGAAATTCAAGTACTACTTTTATACATTCCTTAACCATAAAAGAACATACTATGAATCTTTTCTTGTTAACACATCACTGTCAGTTTTAAAGACCAGAACAATTATGATTCATCAGTTTTAAAATAAGGACTGAATGAGCATGTTTGTAGTCTTCATTAGACAGCATCAACAGGAAAAAAAGTATTTGTTAATTATAAACTTTCAGGCTTTTAGAATGTCTTCTATTCGTGCTCTGTAAGTAAAATATCACTTATCAGTGAACCCTAAATATATATAAGAAAATTAAACTGTATTTGACAGATCTGTTGTTTCTTTCTGTATTTAACTTTCACATATATTTGGTTCAAGGGAACACTTAGTCCGGTCAGTTTCTGTTTGGAAAGCTCCATGGACACAAAGTATTGCATTAGAAAGATGGTGGGAAATATGAAGAACAGTTCTGTGGATCAAGAGAAGGTAAGTTAGCCTCTTTGAGTAAACTTTGTTTAAAGTTTATGCTGTGAAGACTGAACAGACCTGTTTATGCTGCATAAATACAATTATTTAACAATTTTGTTTTTCAAAGATGGCTTTGGACTACTGAAAGCCAGGAAACTAACCTCTTGTTCTTGCCTGATGTTGACTTAATATGTGAGAATTATTTTTTGTTTCAAAAATAAGAGTTATAGAATGCTGAGTAATGTTTGAGTAAGTATTTAGAAGTTAGTAAAATTTAGAGATGGAAGAAAAAACTATTACTGGCTATAATCTACAGAGAAAAAGACCATACTGATAAGATACTAAGATTCAGAAAACAACTTGGATATCTTGCAGTTCGGTCTGCTATTGGTGTACACATACACAGTTATCTTGGCTTTTCAGTTAAGGGTTTGGCTTTTTGTTTTCATTCTTTGCATCTGTCAACACCCCAGATTTCTTTTGAATATACATTAGAAGTTTGTAGTTAAATCTGTTAATCTGAACTTCATTATTGAATACGGTTTAAAAATCTTACTATGTATTATTCCATGAAAGGAATTACAATCAGTAGGATAAGGTAATAAATACTTGTTAGATAAAGAAACAGATGATCTAAAAATATGCACGAGTGGTGTTGTGCATTTGGTTCATTATAAAATAATAGCTTCTTACTCAGGACATTTAAGACAGAATATTTTATGTGTATATATTTGTGTGCTTGTGTCTGCACACACAGTTTGGTACCACTGGGTGTCTCTCTAGCATCTGTTTTGAGACTGAATTAGTAAATTCTTCAGGCTTACACTTGTTCAACAACTGATCTGTGTTTAGGGTTGTTAAGTGTTTAGTACTATATTTAAGTTTCACTAGATATTTGCTCGAAAGTGACAAGATACTTTGGCAAAAAAAAATATATAGAAAGCTGACAGTAATATACTTTGGGAATAATAATCATAAACTTGATATAAAATCTGCATTACGGCTGTTTTTTTCAGCAGCAACTTTTGAAATAGTACAATTAACTAGCAGAATCTATCACCTGCTTTAATGATCTGCTTGTGTCTATGAAAAATTGACAAAAACTATGTGATTGGTTAGCCGTTGGGTTTGTGTACACAGTATTTATTAAGTTTATATCAATACATTCCTGATAGATATGGTAATAGATCAGGATACACTGAAGTCCAACAAAAATCAAAGTACAGTTCCAACAAAACATGAGCCAGGTAATACAGAGGTAAACAGGAAATATGTCAAAAGTAGTTGGAGGAATTATGTATGGGCAGTGCAGGGGATGCAAACCCAGTCCTAACACAAATGGTAAGATTTGATTCTGTGCCCCAAAACGGGGAAGTTACTACAAAAGTCACTTTAGGGATCTGGAAGTTCTGTCTGCTTTGTCCACATAAACTTTTGCACGTGAGATTTTGAAGTTTGTTTTGTATGGTCAGATACCTTGGTGAATATCAAACTTTATTGCTAATCAGTTAATGCACCCGTACTTTATACAAATAGTTGTATGCTTGTAAAATGTGTGTAACTGTAGGCATTTTGAAAGAATCTGATTTTTTATTTTTTTTTTTTCCTTCACTGAAATAGTACCTTGGACATACTGAAGTAATCGTAGGCATTTTGAAAGAATCTGATTTTTTTTTTTTTTTTTTCCTTCACTGAAATAGTACCTTGGACATACTGAAGTAATTTGCTAGAACAAGCAGAACGTGGGCAAATATTTCATCCTCTAGGGTACTGTTCTAGCATTACTTTTATGTGGTATAGAATAGATTGAATAACGGTGTGAATGTTGAATTTGTCTGGTTTTCCTCTTCAGTTTTAACTGTAGGCTAGATTTTTAGATCAAGCTTTTGCAAGTGATAAATTTTTAGTAAGTGGATGCTGCCAGTTAATAACATATTGTGGTCTCTGAACCTTCAGAGATTCAGATCAATTTAATGTCCGGTAAACAAGGAATAATTATAGCTATGTCACAGAGGAGTCCGATAATAACAAACAACTCTGATTTATCTACTGCTTAACCATAAAATTAAGCATTTAAAAATTGGGTAAAAGTGTTGTCAAGAGATGTAAGATAGAAAGGATAGCTGAACACTAGGGAGCATATCACAAAACAAAGCCCCTGAAAGCTGCTGATATAAATAAACAAATAAAGCCCCAGTGACCTGTGGTGGCCAGTCTGGTTTTAGTGCATTTGCATGACATTATTAATGAAAGAAAACAATGACATATAAATGAAGCTTGCGGAGGCTAATGAAGTAAAACACTCATTTTCTTCATGAAAGTGTTTCCTTTCTGTGATTTCTCATTTCTGGCTGCTGCGAAAGTCCCA